CATCGAAAATACTAAAAGACTTAGTCAATACTAAACAAAACTAAAAGCTTAAACTTGAAGGAGGAATTTACTAATTATCGCAAAAAATATATATGAGCAACCTCAAGGAATGTATCTGTGTGTGTGTGTGTCTGTATGTAATTGTCTCTGTCTGTATGTGTGAGTCTGTTTGTGTTTATGTCTGTGGCTATATGTATGTCTCTCTGCGTGCGTATGTATGTTTATCTCTGTGTCTGATTGTAATACATGTATGCAATATGTATGTAAAAAATGGCTTGTTAATCTTAACGTCACCATAACGAAACTGCTCTTTTAATCGTCTGAGATAAAGTATTATTGCCTTCTATTACCATTTGTATGGTAATTTTTTTCTGACGAGCTTTCCCTCTTTGCTACCTAGACTTTATGAATTGAAGAAAAACTACTTGTTTGGCTGCAAAATCTCATGATTTTAAATTTGAATTGACGAAATGCTTATTCTCTCGTCGTTCTCTCTCCTTAAATATGTTTTCGTTCTCTCATATTTTCTCACACTCATCAATCTCTTGGGCTTAAGTGGCTTTATTACGTTGATTTGGGTGAAATGATTAAAAAATATGTTTTAAAGAAAACAAAAGCTTTCACAATGATAAAATTAACCGGATGTAACAAAAAACGTTCATAGAAATCATTTCAATAATGTAATGGTTTTATTGAAATAATAAATCTAGGGATAAGAACGTCGACATACACTCAAAGACTGGTTATGTATGTAAATCTTTCTGTGTTTCAAATATAATGCAAAATGGAGAGATTAAAACTATTTGGTTAAAAAGAATCCTTTTTACGTAGGTATGCTGTCAATATTGTTTTTTTCAGCCATGATACAAATTGCTACACGATAGGACTGACCATATGAAGCTAATAAAATAGATCACTAATAATTTTCTTTAATTTAAGATTGTGAAATATATAAAGGGAGTGGCCATAGTTAAATGCAAATGAATGCTAGAACTGTTCAACAAACAGAATTGACAAAGCAATAACAAGAAAAAAACGAGAACAGGACAATAAATAGTATAAGGCAAGCAATATATGCAAGGCAAATTAACAGTAATGAGGCAAGACAACAGTATTATGACAAAAACTTCACAAACTAAGAATTCGAGTTGACACAGAAGATAAACGAACGTAGCGGTCTGGTTTCAAGTCTAGACAGACCAAGACTGAGTCATATGAAACCGAGAATTGGTCTATTTTATTGACTAGGAAGAAATCCCAGCATGCATTTGCTAGGAAGAAATCCCAGCATGCATTTGCGTGCTTAAATTGGCGAGGAGAAAGTGTTTTGCAGTGATTCCTAGTTAAGATTGTCCCTGGTCGAGAATCCCAAACTCCCTAATTAGTTTTTATCCCCTTTTCTGTTCTTCGCTGGGTCCGACATTTTTTTCCCACTCCACTGTTTAATTTTTCCTTTCCCACTCCATTAGTGAGTTTGCTGCTTGAATCTATTAAAGGGCAGAATACAGTGTCATGTTTTTTAATGGATGTCAGTTATCAGTTATCACCTGTTAATTTCCCTCTTAAAGTTCTCCACTGCCTTAACCGAATAACTGACATCCATTAAAAAACATGGCACGTGGAACTAGAACAGTCTACCCCAGTGAGCGAAATAAAAGGTTCAGTACGACATTCCAGCCACCTGAAGAAGGCCGGAGCGTACAACGGCCGAAACGTTGTAATAATTATGGCGACAAAGATGAGGACAATAGGCCGAATAATGTAAATAATGTACATAATACCTCATCTCAGAAATATATGTTTTGTTTTAGTTTTAGTTTCGTTTTCTGGGTTTATTAGCTCCCCCCCATCATTTTTATTACTATACAATTTTTTATATATTTTTGTCAAAAAAAACAGGAAAAATCTACCAAAAAAGACATTATAAATTTTTATATCATGGGATGTTTAGTAGGTCCCCTCTGAATATGTGGCATTGTGGTATATGTAAGAATGAGAGATGATGGATAAGTTCTTGTGGTAATTGTTTTGAATGAATGGGTCGTGATTGTGATTAATTAGGACTAGAAAAGTTACTCAGTACCAGCCTTTCCTCATTTCCCCTACGGCCTTGTGCCACAATTTTGTACAATGTACGGAATAAATATACATTTCTAGTTAAGATTAGACACAACAAAATACAATTCCACAAAGCTTTGCTTTTGTCTTCTAATTTTATTCCTAAGGCTAGTTGGAAATTCATCTGACCATTTCCACCTGGAGATAAAATCGGTAGATTTTGAGTCCACAAGCTGCTGCTTTCACTTATTTCTGTTGTTTGGAGACAGTCACATTTTTGCATATTTCCTTTTTAAAAAACATCTCATCATACATATAAATGTTACTAAAAATTATTTACTAAGTGTTCATATTAAAATCAGTAATGAAACATTGTTGGTCAGTTTTTCAGGGTATATTTATATCAGTAATATATACTGTAAGGTACATATTAATGTATCTGTCGTCATTATGAAATATTCATAACTTGTTTGGAGTGATATCAGGTTTGGAGGCTTATCAAGTATCAAAAACTAGAAATAAGTAAAAAGGATACAACTATAGAAATATATTCTTAACAATAGACTATATATCCAAATAAAATAGTATTAGATTATTATGTTACAGGCTTCTTGAGGTTTTATAACCTTCAGTGTTTTAAGCACTGAATTTCAGTTTAAACATCGTTTATTGGTTGCAAGAGATTTTGGAATATTGTTTTCCATTCTCCTATACACCTCTACTAATGACGGATTACACACTTTCTTCTTTCTGGAGCGGCTCGGGATTATTTCATTAATTTGGTGTCTATTAAAACACTTGTCATGATTTGGACGATAGTCATCTTAGTAGAATATGAAGAAACGTTATCTGGCAGGAATGTAGTCTTTAGCTGGATGACTTTTAATGCTATGTGTACCATTAAGAAATATCTTGAAAGGATATACAATTACCTTACCTAACAAGTATTAGTTTTGGGTATGACGATGAACTGCATCCGGTAACAAGATTAAAGGCTTTGAGGAGTATAGAACCACCTCTTAATTGCTCTTGTTCCCAGGTCTACCCTGATCAAGAGTCGTAACGCCTGTTATGCTCTCAACTATAAGCAAATAGTGAATCCCAAACAAAGTCAAAAGACTATGAAAGTATAAAATAACATTTTTATAGTAGAAATACTAACATATTTTTATATAAAAAAATACCAACTGTTGATAGTAAAATTGCCAACAATAAATTTTATCTTTAGTCGAATGCATACACATGCGTTGACAGTGTTTAGATTTGGGCATTAAATAACCCATAGTGGTTGATACGCCGCTAAGCAAACTCAAACCAACATGAAAGATCTCTCTCATGACATGAATACATATATCCGAAAATTTGTTTTGTATTTCCAAAATATAACTACAACATAAACACACACATCTAGTAAGTAAGACCACACAGACATGTATATGCGTAAAAGCTGAGTATCATCTACCATGTATACAACTGTGAAAGCAGAATAACATATACTTTATGGAACCTAGTTGGATATTTTTTTAATTTAAGCGCAGTACTAGTACGAATCTCATCAATTCACAGTTGAGCTGGCTAGATGTAGCCATTAGTTCTATGCTAACAGTTGTGGAACACTCTTTCAGATCTCTCCTATAATCTGCAAAAATTTAAATGCAATGTCAGTCGATATGTCCTCTTTATTACTATTTTCTCTTCCAGCTCATTATTAATGTTTCTGTTCCTAATTCTTCCGCACCCTGTGACCCCTTCTGCCTTAGTGGCTTTACTGCTTTGTATGAGGTCATACCAATTTAAAAAAAAATACATTACTTCAAAGCTCTCAAGAATATTAAATTTCGGCATTAAATGACCCATAAGGAGTTGATATGCCATTAAACAAACTAATCAATCAAACAAACATACAAGTGTAACCCCAAGCATTAGCTTCACTACCTAATATAGATTTCAAAGCCAAGTTTATTGATCAATCCTATGAATATCCCAGATACACCGAATATATGTGTACAGTGGTCACTACACTTTACTGTTCATTTCTCAGTTTTTATATACGTCATTGGTGTTTCACTTTGCTATGTTTATATGCAGGGTGATTGAAAAGTAACACTCGATCTGAAAATACTTATAATTTATTTATTAACTATAAGTTTTACAAAACATGTATATGAAAGGAAAGCGTTTAGCGTGAGGTATTATTGAAAATTCGCTATGGTCACCAGATTCTGCTACCAGTTTCTTGAGCCGCCCACAAATCGCGTCAATTGATTTTACCAGGAACTCTTGTGGTATGGAAGACATAACTCATTGTATTTGCCTTCAAGTTCTTACAAAGACTTGGTTTGATATAGTAAACTTGCTCTTTTACCCAACCGCAAAGAAAAATAGTCACAGGGTCAGGACTGCTGGCTGGCCACTCATAATAAAATAGGGAGTTACTTTTCAATCACCCTGTAAATGAGAGATCTTGGTTGCTCTCATGTATTTAGCTAATCTAATTAATATTCCGTATCATTTTGTTTGCACTCAGAGAACCAATTTTTGGAAATAATTTCTTGTTGGGCAATCTAATTTGCTTTTTCTTCACTTTTTAATTTTTCTCAATTCCATTTGTCGGCATTCTTAAAAGAAATGTCTTCTTGTTCTTATCTTGCCAATGGTTTCAACTTATTTTTGCATAGATCTGTTATCTCTTCACAACCTTTTCGCAATTTTCAGGGTATTTTTTTTTACCGCATCACTCAATAAGTTGACAATATTTGTTTTCTTTTTCTTTTAAATGGATAACGTTTTTATGACTCATGTCAATCTTTATGAACATATTTTAATGACTATACGATTATATTGGTTGTTTTAGCCATGGGCGGCACTGTGTTTTAAAATAACTTATTTTCTCTATCGACCGTCGCCATCGACGAAAAGGCCAGAATACGATTATATTGATCTTACGACCATATCGCGTTAAAACCATCGGTTCTCGTATGATCACCGAAGTTAAGCAACTTCGAAGCTAGTCAGTACCTAGATGGGTGACCGCTTGGGAATGTCATGTGCGTGTCGTGTAAAAATACGGACTCGGAATTGGTAATTGGAGATTGTTGGTTTCGTTATATTCATTTCCACGCAAATATCTTTGGGAATGGTAGGAATCTACCTCTTCTCCCCTCCAGCTATGGGATAATTAGTAAGATATGTATCACTAAACTATTACTTTCTCTAAAATCAAAGAAAACTATGACAATGTAATTTTTTCCCGTCTTTAAATAACTTGCAAATGATTGATAAGCCGTAAAAAAATCACTAAATCAACTACAGAGTGACCTACAAAATGCTTGCCTGAATCTAAACACATTGTGGTAAGCTTGGTATCCAGGAGGCATTATCTTTGCGGATTTTTTCCCGCAGTAGGTTGTCATTTCTTTCTAGGGTAGAACAGTTGACATCCAAAGCTATAGAACACGGTCTGTCTTGTTATTTACCCATAAAGGGGGTGGGGAAGAAGAAGAGGATTTATACTTTTCCCAAAGGTATTAGCACGTAAGTGAATATAATGGATTCGACGGGAATTCGAACTCGGCTCAATCCAAGCCGCTATCCATTACTCCACCGTGCCTCCAATGTGTAGACATTTAATCATAAATTGTTATACTGACGAATAAGTTATTTAAATATATCCAACAAAATCAAGCATTATATACTGTAATTCTCATATAAATATATCCTGAAAAATTCTTTAACATTTCGTTGTTGAATGGGATTGTGAAAACATTGACTTGCGTAATAATCTGATCAACATTTAACCTGATTAGGCGGTCTATTTTGATTATGTATATCAACATGACCTTTGTGAGGTCAAACTTTGTTGTTAAATATGTTTTGCATTTTTTTCTGATAACGTGAAAGCAGATGTATATGTGTGTAAGAAGAAAATTGATCTGTTCCCACACAAATACATAGCTAAGCGGTCAATTCTTGTAAGGTTCAATGTCTCTTGCCTTTTCAACACTCGCTCTACACAAGGTACCATGTGATTTAAAACTCAGCTTATTCTCATATAAAGCTACTTTATCATCCAAGGAAGATCAAAATAGCTTTCAAAATGAAATGGCTACGTAGGCAGAGTCAGTTATCCACGCCTAACAGCAATAATTAATTTCTATCTCACAGGGTGCATAATATAAATAAAATTTGGTACTAAAGTTAACTTAATTCTATAGGTTTATTTATTCAGTGAAAATAGCAGCATGGGTAATTGTAGCAATAAGTTTGTAATGTTTTTAATTTAAATTCTACTTAAATTAAAAACAGCTGAACCTATCGCAAAAATGGATACGGAACATTTATTTCCGACCAATGGTAAGGGAAGTCATCTTCAAAGTACAGAGCAAGAGGTTCAGACAAAGAGAAAGCCATGAAATGAAGATTAATTACTTTTTTTAGACGAAGATGACAAAACAAAGAAAATCGTTATCTATAAAACTGACCATCCCTCGGAAAAACACATAGAGGAAGGAAACGGCTCTCGGAGAACGGACAGGGAAGACAGCCACTAGACTGTGCATGTACGCCTCATCTCAACATCTCGCTTATAGCAATAGGTTAAAAGTGAAGAATAAAATCCGGTTTACTGTTAGAAATTAATTTATCTTTGCACTCGTGGGTAACGATTTGACCGAAGGGTAATTTTTAAGCCGCAAGCGTTTGACTGCAAGAAACTGAGCCCTGTCAACGAACCTGGTGTCTGGTCTGAGCTGCAACGCAACATAGTCAAAACACGAAAAAATGTTTATAATTGAAACACAGTAGATGAAACTGTTTTAGAGGAATCTACATAGAGTTCAACATCGTTAGCAGCATTTTCTAGATGATGTAGAAAAAATGTGGCATTGGTAATGGTGCCTGCAGACATAGGTTGGTCATCTGCATAGTCAATATATGTCAACTTTTATTAAGGTCATCGACTTGAGAGCCTTAATGATAGAGTAAAAACTAGATGATTATGCTTCTCGGGAGAAATTCTCAATACGCAGCCAAGTGTGATAACAATGAAAAACGATGGGAGGGTGTTACCCTCTTAAACCATCAAGCCTTCATAGAACCTGTCTCAGGTAAATCAAATCCTTTTGAATCACTTAATACCTTGGAAGAGAAATAAATTCTACAGAAAAGAATGTGAAAATTCACATAGCTAAAACCTGACCGCCTTGAAAAAATGGATGCAAATCTGATCTATCAGACAACCTCAAACGGAGATTCTTTCGAGCTACTGTAGAAGTGGTGTTAATGTATAGCGCCATTGCTTGGACATTAACTAAAACCTTAGTCTAAACCTGGTGGAACAGACAGTCGGATACTTCGGGCTATATGTAGCATCTCTTGGAGACAACATCCAGCTAACTGTTAGCTCTATGTACCCAGCTTTGATATTTATAGAATTTGACGCGGATGTAGAATGCTCTTTGCAGGACCACTGCTGGGTGGGATGTGCGAGTGGTCTACTAGTCCAAACACTTGGCACAACGCGAGCTGGTCGCTCAGCAACCACGTACATTAACCAGCTATGTTACAACGCAGAATATCACCCTAATGTCTTTCTGATATTGATGCAGGACAGTGATGGTTGGGGTGATAGACTCGTCAATGTGTGAGCTATAGCTCGACCGAATAAATATAGATTTGACAGAATCAAACTAATGAAATCCATCACAGTGATCCTTTTTTTTCTCTAGTTTATGACTTAAAATACAACTCAAGCATTGGTTGGAAATTCGGTTGACCATTTGAAACTGGTGGCAGAATCAGTTGCAAAATGGTTCTCTCTGTATCCACTTATTTCTGTTGTTGCTGGCTGGTCTCATTTCATGTATTTTTCTTTGTTAAAACCATCGAAACATGCGCATAAACTTTGTCAAATATTATTAGGCATTTCTTCAAATTAAAATTCGTAACAAATGATATTGGTCCGATTTTAAAAACATATTCATAGATTCGTCCCAAGATTCTTAAAAGCTTCTTCGCAGAAACTGTTGGATACTTCAGGCTATATATAACATCTATGAAGAAAAATATACGGAAAAAACAAACAAAAATCCTTATATGCAATTATACTGTTTTAATGTTAATATAATGTCAACGTCTTTAGTATTTCCCCTTTTCTAGCGAGATTAATGCTCGACAAGCGTACATATAAACTTTAGATCAAAATAGAATTCTTTTCATTTTTCATTCAAAATACTCAAATTTTAGGAATACGTTTTTACAGCGTCGCCCACGTGACGACAACGGGACCATGTTTTAAACGGAGCGCTGATTTTATAAAACTTTCAGTTATCTGTTTGGATAAGTCTTCTTATGTCCATCGTCTTTGTCATGTTGAATTGATAATGTTAATTATATTTTATGAATATGTCCTGAAGATGGTTTATTAGACCGAAACGTCCGACGTTGACATTATATTAATATTAAAACAGCATAATTGCATATAAGGATTTTTGTTTGTTGTTTTTCCGTATATTTTTCTTCATACTGTCGGATCTATATCCATATATTTGCTTACATATAACATCTATGTAACACAGCTAAACCTAGTGCGCATTTACATTATTTACATTGTTCGGACTGTTGTCCTCATATTCGTTGCCAGATTCAGGACCTTGCGGCCGTTGTACGGTCCGGCCATCTTCAGGTGAGGGAATTTCGAACTGAACCCATCCACCGGGATAGATTGTTTTAGTTCCACGTGCCATGACTCTTCTAGATGTTTAAGTATTAGTTATCTCCCTTTAACTTAACTCTCCATGTTTTTGTTCATCTTTGCTGTAGTCAGATATTGAACACAACTGTTTGGGTCAAGTCGCTGGACTTAACCAACGTTTTATCCACTAATGCATTTGATACATTATTGTGTATAAGGTGTCTTTATGTTCATAGATACGTCTTAAATTTCTTTTTTTTAAGTTTGCCCAATGTATTGTATTCTATATAGCTGCTTTAGAATTATTATTGTTGTAGATATTTTTGGTTCTGATCATATCCATGATAGTGTTGGGTGTCGTTATAATTATTTTCATGTTGTTAAGATTGGGTAGATTGTTTTGGATACTGGATGTTATGGAATAGTAGACAGCATTATGTATCTGTTTTTACCTAATTTGTGGTGGTTAATAACGTTAACTTTTTTTCCGGTCGTATATTTTGTACACCTTTCTTTTAGCATTGCATATGAAATGATATGGATACTGGGATTTTTTTAAAGTGTTTTTTATGTATATTTCTTCTTGGGGTAGGTATTTCGGGCTGCAGATTCTTAGTGCTCTTAAATAGAATCCTATAATTATTCCAGATTTGATTTTGTTACAGTGGTGGGAGTAAAATCCACCAGGCCAGCTTTGTTGGCAGTTTTATTTCTGTAAACCTCAAACTGAAGTTCGTTGCTATTTCAGTGTACAAGGTTAAATGACTGCTCAAATTAGATGGTAACTGAAAGCGGTTGCTATATCATCAGTAAGAGTTAAAGGGTGGATACGTGGGATATATAACGGTTAAAATTGACCTTGAAGTTAAGATTGTAGTAGTAAGAAAACGATCCTCATGGGATTCTGTTCCACAAAACAACAGTTCCTGCGAAGAAGCTTTTAAGAATCTTGGGACGAATCTATGAAAGTAAAACTACTTAATTACTGAAGAAATACGACGGGAATTATGGCGATTCGCATCGATTGCTGGCAGTTTCCGTATTTTGTAGACTGAATGAATTTGGCCTCAACAAAACTTGACAATCAATGCTGGAACTAGAATTTAGTTGGTTGGTTTGTTTTGTTTTACGGCATATCAACCTCAATGGCTTATTTAATGCCGACAAAATTTTTATTGCTGCTAATATTTTTATCTATCTACCTATCTATCTATCTAAGTATATATTGGTTTGGTTTGTTTTACGGCATATCAACCTCAATGGCTTATTTAATTCCGAAAATATTTTTATTGCTGCTAATATTTTATCTATCTATCTATCTATCTATCTATCTATCTATCTATCTATCTATCTATCTAT